CTTTGCCCCTCCTGGGATCTGGGATCTGGTGAGGGTTCACATTCTCACCCATTCATAATCCCAGCACACTGCCTTTGGCATCACATGAGAACAGCAAGGCTCCCTGGCCAGACACCAAGTTCTCCCTTCATTTTCATTAGTCAGCTGCCACACTAATGGCATTTTATATATTGTTCTCTGCCTGTTAATGGGAGTGAATAAATTTGGTGACTGTGAAGGGAAGTCCCTTGATGACTTTGGCTCATCAAGACTTCTTTCTTGCCTTGGGAGCTCAGGCTATTTTTGGTATGAGACCTCAGTTAGGTTGTCCAGGCTCTACCTGCATCACCGTGTTTAGCACATGTGCTATTATAAATTGGTCAACACAGGCACACTGGGAATTTGGAAGCAGAAGTAGCCCTATTCCAGAGGAAGCCAGAATGCTACAATCCCACATTGCTGTAACTTTTTCTAAAAGTCCTATCATTCTTTCTAAGTTTTTAGAGACAGAAGCACAAGAGTTGAATTTATTTCCATAAGCATTTATTTCCATAAGGGCTAAGGATAACTTACTAAATTCAGACTGATCCCCAAATCTGATTTCTTCCAAAAAGTCTTTCCCGATTCTCTGAAGAAGTGGTTAAAATTAACATTATCTCCCTATTCATGGCCAACACCACCCCCAGCACCTAAGTCCATTCTTTTGTCTATGCATAGAGGAAATAACCCTTATCAGATATTACATTTGTTTAATTGGTAACTGTGTGCTTGTGACTTAATCTAAGTTTCCAAGGAGGCAGAGGTTAGATGCCAAGCCCAGTAGCTTGAGCAGACAGGGACTGCTGGAGATAAAGCAAAGGAAGGTGGGGTGAGCTCCCAGGAACCTAACTAGAGCCTGGGAACTGGCTGCCATTTTAGTATTGCTGTCCCAGGACTCTGGGATTCTGCCGTGGGCCTTCCTGGCATCGCTGTGGTGTCTGTGTAACTCTCCCACATACTGGAAAGATAAAACCCCACATGCCTTGGTGTCATGCCAGCACGTGGGCTGCAGCAGGACAGAGGTTGTTAGGCAGAGCTGGCATCAGCTTGCTGGCGATGCTGGAAAGTGTTGGGAGCTCAGGCAGGTATCCAGAGGCAGAACAGGAGTCCAACCTGACCAAGGTGGGCAGGCAGGACTTACAGGTCAGATGGGGTGATGGAGAGAATCATAGAAGGCAGGAAAAGTCTGAGGGGTTGGCCTTGACAGTCAAAGCAAGTTGAAAAACCAAAGAACGGCAGGGACAGCAGGGTACAGTGAACCCAGTGGACAGGAAGAGGCCTACGTGGGTGCTGTCCAATTGCAGACCCAGCTCCAGACATCATCTGGGGGGCCTCTCCTCACGTGCAAAATAAGATGTCGGGTCCAGAGACTCTGTAAAATGTCTTTTAATAATAAAATCTTGGGGGCCCTGAGAGTCCCTGAATCATACTTTCAGTCCAAGATCCAGAGTCACTTGCCATGTCACAAAGGCTAGGGAAATTCCAGAATTTTCCAGCATTTCAAAAATAATAGGAAAATTCTGTCTTTACCAATAAAAGGACCACAACGTATGATCGCTTAAACTGCAGTTTGATAATGGAGTTTGGGAGGAAATAAAATAAAATGATATTCCTTTATGGTAGAAAGTTTGAAGAACTGATCAAATTCATTCTTTTCATTTTACATATGAAGAAAATGAGGCCTGGAGAGGAGAAATCATTTGCTCAAGGGCACCCAGCAGATTCAAGGCAGAACAAGAACCAGAAGACTCCAGTTTTCTGACAACCCTGTTCTGAGCTTCTACTCCTCCCCCCCACCGGTCCTCTCCCCCAACACATCCTCACCCCTTATACAAAATAGGACCTGAGATGTTGAAAAATGTTCTAACTTCCCTTTCTCTGATAAATGGAAGGCAAGTTTGATCTGGCAACTTTTCCTTCTAGCAGTTCCAGGTATCAGTGGCTTAGAGTATACACTAACCTCGTAGCACTAGAGGGAAGATGCTGGATTACCCCTGCTGCCAGTGCACTGGGGATAAGTGTGTGGGTTTATATGTGTGACTGGATTGAGCAGAAAATTCCTGTGTGTTTCCTGTGGAAAGAGCATGGTCTCTGCGGAGTCTAAAAGACAGCTACTTGAAGTAGTAGGAAGAGTTATATATTGGGAATAAAGTAGCCTGGTTATGAATCCAGCTCAAGTATTATGTGACATTGGACAAGTGACCTCACTGGGCTTCAGTTTCTTCACTTACAAAATGTGGAAGCAAGGGACTCTAGGAGGTGCTAAGCTGTTTGCCAAAGGCTTTTCAACCCTCACACTGTAAGGATGTGTACCTCACCTCTTCTTCATAGAGCTGTTCTGGTTTCTCTAGGTAAAGGGTCCAGTGAGTTCCGTTCTTAGATGAGTAGGACATGCTGGAGAGACTGGGTTTGTCTATCCATGAGCATCAAAGTCTTCCTAAAGACCAGCTTTATTCATAACCCACTGCTTAAATTCTCATGACTCCATACTGCCTGCAGAAAAAAGCTACCATTCCTTTCCTTGCATTTGAACTTTCAAGACTTGGCCCCATGTTACCTATCCAGTTTAGAGTTAAAAACCCAAATTTCAATCCCAGCTTCATCTCTTTGCAGCTCTGTGACTTTAGGCAACTTTTCTACTCTCTCTGAGCCTCTTATGTAAAATGAAGATGAATACCTAGTTCATCAATTTGATATGCGGACTGAATATCATTAAAATTGTACAATTGTAAAATTCAGTCAATAATGAATGTTAATGCATTCTCTCTCCTTTCCCCAACTAATGTACATCTTCTCTAAAAAGAAGAATTGTACACCTCTTTTATATCCTCAGAGTGTTTTGCACAAAGCCCCCAACAGAGCAAATAATAAATATTTATCAGACAGACTGATGTATATTTGTCTGTTCTAGTTGTCTGGATAAGCTGAAACCTTTGCTTCTCTTTTGCAGTTTGCCCAGCTGGTTGCCATCTACAAGACACTAGGAGGAGAAAAGTTCCCACTCATTGAGCAGACATACTACCCCAACCACAAAGAGATGGTAGGTGATTGAGTGGGGACTCTAGTCCCTCTGCTGTTTACATTCTAAGCTTAGCCGCATGGTGATTATGGGGCTCAAAAGAGGGCCTCAGCATTTCAACCCCAGAGACTCTGTTGGGATTAAACTGTTGTGACCTGCTTTGTGGGGCTAGCGCAGCTGAATTTTAGCTGATAACCCCGTGTCTCCAAAATCTGGAGATCACATAGTGAAGAGCAGAAAAAAGGGCATTTTATCAAGCTGAGAAAGTAACAAACCTATGGATCAACAATCAGAACATCCCACTGTTTTGGGTTGTAGCTCTGGCCCTGCAACAGGTCACTGGGACTAGTTAGATTCACTGTGTGTTGGTCTCCCATTTGGAAAGTCAAATGCACGTAATTATTCCTGACCAGGATATCTAATGTGGTACTTACAAAATGTGAATGAGATTCTTCAAATAATAGTCTTCTGGAAAAGTGTGAAGCACTCCTCAGATGTAAAGTGTTGTCCCTATTATTCTTTACCAGTTCCTTCCCTTGGCTTCCTCAAGATTACAGTAAGACTGGATTAACACTATGCATTCTCTGAGGCCATGCTAGGGTATCAGAGGAGCAGAGAGATGGCTTGGCCAGCTGGTGCAGAGACTATTGCTAATGTTTTTCCTTCATGACAACTTCTAGCTCTAGCTTAACTTCCTTCTTCCTCTCTGTCCCCACATTCTCTGCCCTAGGCTTGCATGGTCAGTTGGTGATCCTGCTTAGCCCACCAATGAAGACTTTCTGCCATAGCATTCCAGTATTATACTCTGGGGCAGAGATCATGTTTATTTCCCCTCCTACTCCCTACTCCAAAAGGGATCTTCATTTGGACCATTTCTGTGAATCAAGAATGTTCATCTGGCTTATTGTGCATGGCCCAAACTACACATAAAAGGTGAATAGCAACCTTGAGCCATGAAAAGAATTACCTCCTTCATCTTTGCCAGGGCGAGGCTCTGGAACTTTTAAGCCCTCATTCTTAATAAATTCTTGAGATGAGCATAGGGCTTTCCCTTTCAGGGCAAGCCAGGAAGACTTGCACAGTCAAAGGAACCCTAAGGGGTCTGTGCTTGGACTTCTCCGGGACTCTAATACACGGTGGTGAGAGGACTGAGCTGAGGAGCAGACAAGGAACAAAGCTGGCTTTTTCCTGCCAGAACGCCTAGCGGGGCTGACCAGTGAAAACAGTTGTAAGAGTTACAAAGTATGTTCCCCATCTACCATCTTTCCCCCGCCAAGGGCCTTGTGTTATTTCTCTCCTGTCCTCTATCCTGAAGTTTGCCCTCAAGAGAGGCCTTCCTAAGGTCTCTCTGAGGTGTTAAAAGCTAATGGGGAGTATCATCTCTACAAGAAAAAGGCTTTTTTTTTTTGACTTAAAAAAAATTCTGAATTAGGAATGAAAACATTAGTAATCGAGTAGAGAAGGACTTTCTAAAAGAAACAGGAGAAGCTTTATGAACATCATTTGAAGGCATTAAGGATAGTTAACCTGGAGAGGCAATACCTAAATCTATTCTTGTCCAAAGAGGTATGCTGACTGGCCAGATCCTCTGCCAGGAATGGTGTACAGAGGATTATAGCATGTGGAGTGAGGTTAGGCCACTGCAGATCTCACACTGAGTGACTCTGCACCCCCCATATCTCTCCCCCAAACAGATGAAGGCATATGAGAGGATTAGGATGAGTTGGGACATGAGTAGAGGACATACAGCCATAGTGTGTTGTTCTTTTCACTCCTCCAAATCAGCCTGTTCCTGATTCTGTCAGCCCATCTCTGGTATTTTACATCACAAGGCTACATCATCTCATATGTGTAAAAATCACTATTTCTCCCCATCAGAAAAAAAAGTTACAGTAAGAGAAAACACACTCTCCCAGGGAGAGAAGGAAATAGTTCTGGCTATAGAAAACAAACTAAGCCAGAATCAAAACTTTCAGTAGCAGGGTTTAGCTAGACTGAAAGGGTTTGGGAGGCAGGGGAGATGGGCTGAAGGTAGGCTAGAAACGTCAAGTTACTTTTCCTGGCCCTTGACAGGTTCTGGGCTGGCGTTTGGACACAAGCTGTAACATGCCCCATGCCTACCCTAACACTAGCCAGATCATCCACTTGGTACTTCCCATTGGCTGGCAGTGATGAGGCGGATGGTAACAGCCAGGGCTCCACAAGGAAGGAGAACTGGCTTAGACTTCAGGACTCTTGAAGGAATGTGGTGGTCACTGGCCCCTACTAGGGCTGGATGATGTCAACAAACTCCTTCCTGAGGGGCAGGCGGCCTTGGTACCAGCTGCAGGTGCCATCGACATGCTTCATGCAGATATAATGCTGGGCCTGGTACCCATAGAGCTTCCGTTCCAGCAGCCAGTCTGTCCAGAGGCACTCATTGGGGGCTGAGATGGTACAGGGCACTGTATAGCAGGTGGTAATCTAGAGTCATAGCCACATAACATCAATGTGAGTAGAGCGCCCTTTTTCCATTATTGCCTTTCAGACTCCTACATATCTGTACAATCTAGCTCAAATGCCACTGACTTATGAAGCCTTTCCTATTCCCCAAACTTCTTCCCGAGTTCCCCGTCTCCTATGCTCCTAACATACCTTATTGCCTCTCTAATGATGTTTCTGAAGTCAGACAGGCCTGACTGTCCTTACTCTACCACTGACATTGAGCAAATCACTTCACTTCTTAAAGCATTAATTTCTTCACCTTAAAATGGAAATCTTAATTCTTCATAAATTTGTTATAAAGACTAAATATTTTAAATAAATAGACCATTACAAGGCCTGACAAAAGTAGACCTTCATTAAATGATAGTTATATTATCTCAGTCTTTCTATGACGGCCACCTTCCCAGCCAAAATGTTAAGAACTTTGAGATCATGGACTATGGACCATCTTGCTTTCCCATGGCCAACTTCATACAGTGACTGATCCATGGCAGATTTCAAATATAGTACGTAAGTGAATAAATGCATGTACAATGGAAGGAATATGTGAAGAATGAGACTGCAAGGCTCAAGACCCCTCCTCCACCCCCCAAAGACCTTGGAAATGGACATTCCCTTACTTGGCAGCCACAGTTCAGATGGTAGTGGTGATTCAGGCTTTCCCTCTGCAAAAAGGATAGGTTCTCCCACGGTTCGATGTAGTTACACAGATGGATGAAGACTTTTCCATCACTGAGGATCTGACCTTCAAGGGGAATGGAGGAAAACCTAGGATGAGGAATCTATTCATGGAGACCAGAAGCCTGGGTCCTCAAAGATACTGTCATTGTAGCCTCTTCAATAGATTTTGGTGGCGGTGGTGACATGGGGCTCAACGAAGAACAAAAAAAACCTCTATAATTTTTATAGTGAAGATATTAGCAGATTATGTTTGTATGGGAGAGAGTTGTGGGAGGAAGGCTTTTTCCTTTAGCATGGTACAGAGAGAAAAACATGGGCTTTAAGATCAGACTCTTGATGTAACCCCCTTCTTTTCTCTCATTTAGAGCTGTGTGACCTTAAAAAAGTAGTAGAACTTCTCAGCTGGAAGATGAGTTGTTGTCAGGATTAAGTGAGAGAATATCAGTAAAGTTCCCAGCACAGCTTGGGTCCACAGAATTTTCCATAAATAATAGGTACTTCTTCTTTCCAGTCCTTCCCAATATCTACACTGCCTCATCTCCTGCCCTATTGATACTTATCTTGGTGAGTCTCTCTCCTTCCCCATAGGAAAGTTCCCTCTCTTTACCTATCAAACTCTTTCCTATCTTCCAAAGACCCTTTTCAGTACCACCTCATCCTCCTAGCTATCTCTGGCCACCCTAGCTCACACCTCTCTTAGAACTTCAGTTGCTCATTTACTCACTGAGCAACTACCACGATGACTATGACTTGGTACTAGAAATACAGAGATAAATATGACAGAATCTCTGCCCCCAAAGAGCTTAACAAGCAATAGGGCAGACAGAGAAGTAGGCAAAAAGTACACTGCTGTGTGATTATACACAAGATGCAGCACAAGAATGAAAGAAAACATAATTATCTCCATCTGTGGAAGGGGTTGGGGACAAGGAAGGTGTCTCAGAGGAGATGATGCTTCTGTCGGGCCTTGCAGGGATGAGTAGAAGTTCACTTGCAAGATACGTGAGGGAAAGGACTTCTGGACATTGGGACTACCCTGTGCAGGGTGGTGGGGTGTAGCCCAGAAGAACACCTTCTGCAACTGCAAGTAGTTTAGTTCAGCTCTGGAGGAAAATGAGGGGCTGGGAACTGTCACTCGCATGTGGCAGGAGACAAAGCTGGAGAGGTCGGCGGTGTTCTGATCACAAGGGCTTTCAACATTAAGCAAAAGAGCTTGTACCACTGCTAGGAATTTACCCAAGGGATACAGAAATGCTGAGGCATAGGAGCACATGTACCCCAATGTTCATAGCAGCACTCTCCACAATGGCTAAAACATGGAAAGAGCCTAAGTGTCCATCAACAGATGAATGGATCAAGAAGATGTGGTTTATCTATACCATGGAATACTACATGGCAATGAGAAAGAATGAAATCTGGCCATGTGTAGCAACATGGATGGACCTTGAGGGTGTTATGCTGAGCGAAA